GCATCTTCTGGGATTCAGGGCCACAGGACCCAAATGAATACCATTTACAGCTTGCTGGGTGGAGAGAATCTACTTCAACTCCCAGAGCTCAGAGGAAGCTTTGAGGCAGGGCCATAGCAGGACCCACCCATGATAATTTCCCTCATGAAGAACCTGCCAGGAAGCTAATGTCCAGTGATCTTCGTCCGTGCCCTCAGAACGGGCTGTGGGTCCTGCATCCTGCCTGGCTCACCCATTTCCACCCACCCCATTTTCACTCCATCTTCCCCTCTTAGCAAAGTATTTTTGTTTTTTCTTTAAAGTTAATTATATAAATGATACATGATACATGCTGGGTCTAAATGTGTCAAACAAAACAGAAAGTGTTAAAGTCATGGGAGACACCACCTACCCCCCCCCTTCCTCCCTCTTTTCAGCTTGATGGGACCCTTGTAGACCTTGGGCTATGGTGTAGGCACAAATTTGGGTGCATATGGGAGCCGGGGAGATGTCTCTGTATATACACGGCATCTGCTACTTTGCAACCTGCTTCTCCCATCTGACAGTGCGTCTTTCTGTGTTGGACATTTAGAACCATTTCATCTTTTTAATTGTTGTAGAGTATTCCACAGTTTAAACATAAAAACATTCTGGCACTGAGAAACCTTTAGATGGTTTTCCATTTTATTGCTATTCCCAACAGCTACGGTGGACCCATGTCTCCTCCTCTATGAGCACAAGTATACAGGCAGGGTCAGGCTTGGGAAGGGAAGTGTTGGGCCTGAAGACAGGGAGAGATGTCTGTGCCACCAGCCCCATCCCCGGGAAGGGCGCTCCATTGTCAGACCTTCTCAAGCCTTCAGGTGCAGAGCCCGTACCACTCCCCCTGCCCACCCACCTCTGCTGCCTTGGATCAGAACGTGGCTGCTCCCTGAGAGAACCCCATTTCCCAACTAGGCTGAGAGTTCCCAAGGGGCCTCACCGGGCGTGTCTCTGGGGACACCTCAGCTCCTTACAGGAGAGGGAGCCTGGCAGATTTAGTGACTCCCGAGCTGAGGCCCCCCTGCACCGCCCTCACAGCTCAGAGCCCCCTCCTCAACTCCTAGGAGAAGTACTGATGAGGACAGGAAGTCACAGTTAGTTCAGTGAGTGTCCAGTGGGCGAGGCTTGCGAGCGCTCTCCCCTGGCCACCCTGGGCGCCCACCTTGGCCCCCACCCAGGCCCGCTGCCCTCTGCAGCACCCTGTGAAGACAGACTCCCCTCCTGAAGCCCCCCATCCCTGCCAAGCTGCCGCTCCTTCCGGGTTCTGCCCCCAGCAAGGGAGCAGATGTGGTCCCTTCAAGCACACAGAGTCAGCTGTTGATAACTATGTACTGTGTCCGCCTTTTTTTTTTTTTTTTAATATTTTATTTATTTATTTATTTATTTTTATTGCGGTATGTGGGCCCCTCACTGCTGTGGCCTCTCCCGTTGCGGAGCACAGGCTCCAGACGCGCAGGCTCAGCAGCCATGGCTCAGGGGCCCAGCCACTCCGCGGCATGTGGGATCCTCCCAGACCAGGGCACGAACCCGTGTCCTCTGCATCAGCAGGCGGACTCTCAACCACTGCGCCACCAGGGAAGCCCCTGTGTCCACCTTTTTAAAAGAGCCACAGTGAGACAGCTCTCTCAGAGTGGACTGTCAGAAATGGCACTGGGCTGGCAGAAGAGATAGTTTGAGGAGGCCAGGTGGGTGGGCACCAGTTGGCCCCTGTGTAAGGCTGGTCCCTCCTCGTGGAGGCGTAGAGGGACAGGAGGGACTCTGCCTCTCTGACCCACCCCCCCCATCCACAAGAGTGACTGTGTTTACACTGTGCTCTGTGATTAGAGAGCTCTGCAGAGGTTGTTAATGCTCATTGGCTAGTAAGTCTCCCCGCCAGCCTCTGAAGAGAGTTAGAGATGAGGAAACTGGGACTCAGAGAGGCATCAGTAAGTGACACCTGGCTGAGTACCGCTTCCTGTCTGGAACCACGCATCAGCCTTTGCAGGGGATGATCTGATGGGGGAGAGAGCAGGATGGTGACAGTAACCATACTGTCAAGCCCTGAGCAAATGGGCTCAAGGAGGCCTTGGGGACAAGAGCCCTCCCACCAGGGCAGCCTCTCAGCTCTCACCAGCAACCTCTGTCCTCCCACTATGGAGTGTCCTCGGGGCCTTGATCAGCTCCCAGCACCACTGCCATGTCCCCGCACCTCCTGGCACCCCCAAAGCAGCCAAAGTGTTCGGGATTCAATGCTCTTGACAAATATGTGTTGAGTTCCTGCCCCTTTCTGGGCACCGAGAACTAAGGAACAGAACAAAATCAAGTCCCGACCTCATCTGAGCCCGGGGAAACGCTCATCGAGGAACAAACACACAGTATTAACATGTCTGGGTGAGGGGTGCCAAAGAGAAGCACAAACAGGACGAGGGGTCAGAGAGCAGGCCTGCGTCCTGTGTGGAGGGTGGGAGGAGGTGCTGCGTTAAATGAGGCCATCAGGAGAGGCACCTCTGAGGAGGCCACGTGTGAGCGGAACCTCAAGGGAGTGAGCGGGCAGGCCGTGCAGACAGCAGACCGAGCTCCTTCTGAGCAGAGGGAACCACCAGAGCCAAGGTCCGAGGGCAGAGTATGCCTGGCGGGGCAGCGAGGCTGGAATGAGTTGGGTGAGTGAGCAGGGGAGGAATGGAAGAAGTCAAGGGGTGCAGATGACAGCGGAAGTCACACAGGGCCTGGGGGTCCCTCAAAGATTCTGGTTCACAACACAGCTGTGAGCGCTCTCAAAAAAAAACTGTGGCAGAAATGCCTGGGGTCTGGACACACGCAACAGCTTCTTTTTTTTTTTTTTCCTTTCTGGAGTCCTTTCCTTGTTATCCTGGTCCATGGAAACAATGTGGTCATTTTCTCTCCTTCCTCCCTTCTCCTCCTCCCTCTCCAAACCTGCCCTGACCTTGTCCTGAGCTGGCTTGCACAGCGGCTGCCTCCCAGTTGCAGGCAGGCATGGGCGGAGGACAAGGCCAGTGAGGGGACAAGAGGAAAGAGGCCCTGGCAGAGGCAGGCAGCAGCACGAGGGACGACGTCATGGGGGCCTCTGATTGCTGTTCATTTTAGTCCCCCAGTGTCTCCATCAATAACCGTCTGCCACAACCAGGATGGAGGAGCGGGGAGGGGGGGAGGAGGGGTGATCTGGGGTCTGGGTGGGGAGGCATGAGATGGAGTGGGACAGAGGCTCCTTGGCACTCATAACTCCTCCCAGCCTGGGACAGAGTTGGAGGCAGGGAAGGCAGAGAGCCATGGGAGCTGAGAACTGTCTCCCAGCTTTCTCTCCCCGTTTCCTTCTGCCCGTCTCTACATCTCCCTCACAAATACATTCCCTTCCATCTCCTCTCTGAAGCTAGGAGAGGAAGGGAGGCAGGACCAAGTTTTACATTGGAAGGAGAGGAAGGGAGTTTTTAATTGGGTGATGGAGGAGTCAGGAACTGCAGAGGATGCTGGGAGCACTCTTATGTCCAGGGAAACGAACAAGAGGCCAGAGCGAGCCTGGTGACAAGGCACCAGACTGGCACCAGAAGCCTACAAGCCTCATGAGAAGAGGGCCTGGGCTCCTGGACCTGTCACAGAAACTGGCTCAAGGGCACTCAGGGAATAGTTGATAAATGGCCAGGAGGATGACCACCCGGCCAGCTGTGGGCAGTCGAGAAGGGAGGTTGATTTAAGATGAACTAGACCAGTCAAGGTGGTCTGCCGGGAAGAAGTGGATCTTGATCAGATTCTTGAAAGATGGATGGGATTGGTAGGTGTGAAAATGGGGAGAGAAGGCATACCAGGTGAGGAGACTGGAAAGGGGGAGAGCAAAGAAAGGGGGGCAGTGGTGAACACAGATGGTTGGGAGATCAGATCATGGGAGAGAGAGTGAAACAAGGGAGAGAAAGAAGACAGTGAGCCAGAGGTGGTGGCCAGCGCCCAGGGTGCCTTCTCTGGGGCCATGGTGACTTTAGGAAGTCTGAGGCCACTATGCCCCTCCAGATGCAAGCCTGCTGCAGGCTGAAGTTGGCTTTTTGACTTTCCCTAAGACCCTAGGGCCGCCCAAGCCACACAGCCACATCTGGAGGCAGAGGAAGAGGCCCTGACACTGAGCAGTCTGAGGGAACTCCCAAAAAGCCTCTCCCACCAACAAGTATTCTCTTTACCTTGTCACCATGCCTGAAGGGCCAGCATTAAAAAGTCACCGCTTGAGTAAGACACAGTGTTCTGTAAAATCCAGATTCCCCGGTGAGGCACTGCAAGAGGAAAGCTGGACTGGACATTGCAGACCACTGGATCAACCCTCTCGGTTAACACGTGAGGAGACTGAGGCAGGACAGGAGACTGCTGAAGTCACCCAGGGAATTAGAGGCAGAGCAAGAGTCTCCAAGCCCTCCAGGAGGGGTGTGAAGATATCACCGCAGATGTGACAACCGACTGGGGCAGGGGGCACATGGACAGCCCCATTCATTTTATTAGGACAGCCTGGCCTGGGGTCCTCCTTACAGATGGAGCCTTTGTTTGAAAGGTCGGGAGGGTCCCTGCATCATCCCTCCTAAGGGGCCAGAACAAGAGTTCACGATGGAGTGTAACTAGAGGTGCTGGGGTGAGGGGTGGAAGCTGCCCCTTCTGGGAGGTATTGGGGCTGGAGCTGAAACAGAACAACATCGGAGGGAGGCAGGCAGGCACCTGGCAGGCGGACAGGAAGAGACCCGCGGGGAGAGGGGGCGTGGCGGGGAGAAGATGCAGAGTGGGGAGACTTCACCGAAGGAGCAAAATAGAAAAGCAACGAGAGAGACGAAAAGCAGACACGGGAAAACGGCGAGGCAGGAAAGCTCGAGTAGAGCGCACGGGAGAGAAAGAGAGGTGGCGAGAGGGACCAAGAGCGGGGAGGGGCTGGAGACCGGAGGGCGGGCGGGAGGGCGCGTGGGCGGCCCGAGGGCGCCCCACTGACCCTTCTCGGCGCTTGCTTCCCTCCCCAGGCTGCGCTTTCCTCACCTACTGCGAGCGTGAGTCAGCGCTGAAGGCCCAGAGCGCGCTGCACGAGCAGAAGACTCTGCCCGGGGTAAGTGGCGCCCGCCGAGGCGCGAGCGACGGGCGCGCCGACAGGGGGCGACTTCGTGAGGCCGAGCCGCGGCGCAGCCGGCGGGGGGCTCGCGGGCCCCGGTGCGCGGCGCCGGCCTTCGCTCGGGAACTCGCGCGTCGCTCCTTGGGCCCCCAGAAGCCTCGAGGCGCGGGGCTGGGAAGCGGGCGCGTGGGCGCCGAGCTCAGACCTCGCCTGGCGGCCTGCGCACTCGGCCGTCCAGGCCCGACGGAATCCGGGCGGGGGACGAACTCGGCCGTGGCCGCAAAGCTCGGGCGCGGCTCCTCCCCTGACCCACCGGGGCGCCGCCGATCGGTTTTCTCCTCCGAGCACTACCCGTTCGGGCAGCCCCGGGGTGGGGACGCGGGGTGCCCGGGGCCCTGAGATCCCGGAGCTGCCTCTATTGGGCCCGCCGGGCCGCCTGCCGCAAGGCTGCACGAACACCCACCGATCGACGTCGGACCCTCGCCGTTCCTGGGGTGGGGGCCGGGCCGGGCCGGGAGGGAGGGAGTGCCTACCCGCCCGGGCTCGGCGCCGCGAGTGAGATCACCGCGGTTTATTTAAGGAGCCAGCCCTCGTCTTTGATAAACTATCGTGCCTCAGCCCTGGTTTATAGCTTCTGTGCGGGGGAGAAGAGAATTATTTATGGCCCCCCTAACTGGGTGTGATATCAGCCGTGGCTATTATCGAAGCTAGTTCATCACCATAAAATAAGAAGTGTTCCCCGGGTCAAGGGTCTGCGCGGTCTCTCCTGTGGGTTCAGAGAGATGGGGCGGGGGATGCGGAAGGAGGGGGAGATATGCAGCTCACCGAGTATCTAAAGATAAATGGAAAGATGTGAGTGTTTGTGGGCATAGTTTAAAGAATTTTAAAATGTACCGTGTTGAAGCTTATACAATGGACACTGCAGGGAAGCACATGTGTTCTGTATATATGCTCACCAATATTTACACATGCATGTTTACATTCTTACCAAGCAAATCGTATGTAAACACACGTTTCCATTTCTGCCCCACAGCGGGAAAGGTTAACCAGGTAGACAGAGGGAAAGCGCAACCTGGGGCGGGAGCAGTCTTCCTTTGCATCAGAGATCCTTCTTTACCCGTTTAGGGGTGGGGAGGGCCTTCCTTCCACTAAGATAGCCTTTGTATTGTATTTTGGTATTTGTGATTGCAAAGCACGAGGCTGAGTCATCTTAATAACACACCCGCGGATGCAAATGTATGGAAATCGTGCACCGCACAGGTTTTTGTGTGGAACCCAGCTCTGGCAAGGTGGCCGTTCCCCAGTTGGTTTTTCAGTGGCGCAGCTACATGCACATATATTATAGTAATTACTTTCTGGGTGCCCTCTGTAAGATGGCAGAAATACGCTCCACATCACCCCATGTTATGTGTGAAGCATAAAGCCATATTGTAAGAAAATCAAAGGCTTCTGAGAAAGGTTTGTGCTGATTAGTAAAGTGTTTGTGGTACTTTGTTTCGGGGGAGATTGTGGTAGATATTTTAGAGCCACCCCAATGGAATAGAAAATACCACATTGTTATGGGAGGTCCTTCATCAGCTTGAGAGAGATTGCTGGGGAGTTTTGTGATGGCTAAAAGCCTGGAATTAGATGGGGAAACCGAAAGAGAAGGTGGGAGGGGGCGGCTTGGGATTTTGAAGGGGGAGAGACTGGGGACTTGGGAGAATTTCAGTAGCAAGTGTGGATTGTTCAGGATCTAACATTAACTTGTGGTTGTTTATTTTACATATAATAGAATAGCTAAATGATGGAGTGTATTAGTTCTTTAATAATTTATAGAAATACTTTGATGTTGCAGTAATTACATTAAAGGTCACATATCAAAGGTAATTTGGTTGAGCAGCTGTGATGGTTTCTCAGAAGCAATCAATACCACTGTCCGTGGTGCTGATTTCACCAAGGGGCCTGCCAGATTAAAGAAGGCTTATTACCAGGCAGAAAGGCCCAGGGGAAATCAGGAGCATGTTGGAGCGACGCGCCAGCCCCCCTTCCACCAATAATTAACACTGTTCCCCATAATCTGTGCTAATCCTTCATACTGGGAGATCCAGTGGCATTTTTCTGAAACCACAAAGACAAGTTGGGCAAGTCTGGGAGAAAGGACAAAAAAAACAAACCAACCATGAATGTATGTTGGGAGGTGGGAGGGGTGAGGAGAGAGGCCAACAATGGAACTAAAACATAGCCTAGAGTCCCCTTGCGGTGCTTGGAACGCTGTCCTTTCTTCAAAGGCCTCACGGGGAGACTCGTGGCCTCAAAGACCTCATCACAATTTTCAGGGCAGGCACAGCCCACAGGGGGAGGGACAGGGAGAAAAGACAGGATTGCAGCTCCAACTTCCCAGGGCACATTGTCCCCCAAAAAACTCACATGGAGATTAATGAAAAACAAAATGACCAGATTTTAAAGTGGAGTCATCTGGATTCCAGAAAGCAGAACTGGTGTTACTATTGTTGGTTGGTTCCTTTGAGATCAGAGAACGTGAGACGCAAATGCTGGGAAGTGGCCCAAGCAGAATGCTCCACCCAGCTGTATAATGGGTGTTCCCACCAGCTGAGGCGGTGCTCACAGCTGCCTCCTTGGTCAGGGGGCAGAGGGACACTTCTTCTTTCCTGGGGTGACCACACTAGGTGCCCTGGTGAGTGCACTCTATGTCTGACTAAGGAGAAAAAAATGGAAAAAAAGAACCTGGAAACTGGTAACCTCAACAATTTAGGCACTTTTCCAGACTTCAAAATCCATTAAAATCAATCCATTAAAATTAGCCCTCCACTTTCTCACTGACGAGAGAAAGAGGGGAGAAGACGGTGCAGGCAGCCCACTCTGTTTCCCAGCAACTTACAGAGTCAGCATCCTGTTGGCAACAAGGAACACGATCCCATTGTTGTCATGTGTGCGCACATGCATGCACACCCTGCCACCATCAAAAACAGTAACAAAACAACAGAGCCAGAACTAGAGACACCGCTCCCACGTGTCCCCACTTAGGGACTGGGAAGGGGAGCTGACATTTCTCTTGGGATAAGTGGAAGCTCAGAAACCAGATCACAGTGGCTGTTTTTACAAGTCAGAGGTCAGTATCCCTCAGAACCAGCCTAACCGAAGTCTCTCAGATGGCTGACGGAGTCATCCCTGGACCAGTGTTACAAATGGATTATTGTTTTTTAATTTGACACGCCTTCAGTAGAATGAGATCACTAAACCACAAAGCCTCATCAGGGTCCCTTCGAGCAGGGTCTTCTGCAGGCATCTAGGCAGAGTGATTCCACTTTTCTAAACTCACCATCTCCCCCTCACACTCTCAATCTCACTCTCTCTCCTGGCCCCTTGTTCTGTTATTTATAGGGTTAAGTCAACATGGTTTCTCAATTCATCAACAAGAATTTCCTGAGTCTGTGCTGGGCACTGTGATAGGCATCCAGGAAGACACAGAGATAAGAAAAATGCCTCACCACCCCCTCTTGGAGCTGTCCATCAAATTGGAGACAAGTCACACACACATCAATGATACAAGACAGCACATCATCATAAAATGGGTAGAGTAGAAAACAGTTCAATGATAACAGTTAATATTTATTAAGCACTCACTACCTGACAGGCGTGATGCAAGCACGTTACCTCCGTTACCCCATTTTATCTTCGCAACCACCCTATAAGGAAGATGTTATGCGTATCCCTCACACGTGAAGAGACCCGGGATGAGAGAGATTAAGCAACTTGCTCAAGGTGACGCAATTAACAAATGGCCAAGCCAAGACCAGCACCTGATCTGCTACCAAAATCCACCTCTTCTTTCTAGGGCCACCAGTTGCTTTAGAGGGGACCTGGATAACTATGGGGTGTAGGAGTTGCTCAAAAGTGTGTTCAGGGGCTTCCCTGGTGGCGCAGTGGTTGGGAGTCCGCCTGCCGATGCAGGGGACGCGGGTTCGTGCCCCGGTCCGGGAGGATCCCACATGCCGCGGAGCAGCTGGGCCCGTGAGCCATGGCCGCTGAGCCTGCGCGTCCGGAGCCTGTGCTCTGCGAGGGGAGAGGCCACAGCAGTGAGAGGCCCGCGTACCGCAAAAAAAAAAAAAAAAAAAAAAAAAGTGTGTTCAGGACATGGGCAAGGTGGGAATAGAGAGCTGGGAGGACGATGGGTGTGTCAGGTGAGAGCGCTGGTCTAAGAACTAGCCTAGAAGACAAGGCACGCGTGACAGGTCAGGAGCCGTGAGCTAGGCAGGAGAGGTCCACTTGGAGAGCTCCCTGGGGTCTGTCTGAGTGTGCACGGGAGGCCTATTGGAAGAATCCTGTTCCTTAAAATAGGCCCCTGCTGCTTAGTCCCAGCTCCCCCTGCCTTTGGGACTTTTCAGGGAATTGTCTTCCAGGAAGAGCCCAAGAGACTCCGATCAGAGAAAACCAGGCTACATGGCCAGCAGTGGCCAGCACTTTGCTCCTGGGGCAGCAGAAAAGTCTCCTCACCAGGGCTGCTGAGGGGGGAAGAGGTGGGTCCAGTTAGCGGGAGGCCTGAAAGCGGGAAGGGGAGAGAGCTGGCAGGGGGAGAGTGGGAGCTGTATCTGCTTGGTAAACATTAAAGTTCCAATTCACTAGTTAAAGATTGGCTTTTGTGCCCTCACTCCGGCAACCTGAGAATACAAAGCAAACGCACACAGTCCTCCATGGCTGTCTCCCACCCGCACCCCTCGCTCGGTTCAGCCTGGTAGACAAGCAGCATCGCTGACATCACACCTCCCGACTAAAGGTCCCCACCACTCAGGACACGTCATTTCCTTGGAAATTCAATGTGACCTTCTTTGGGTTTACCAGGAAATATGTTAAAATGGAAAATTAAAAAAAAACAAAAAAAACAACTCAGTTGGATTTCTAGCACTGCTGTCTCAGGATGTTCTCCTTTCTCCCCCTGCCTCCCATTTTCATTTTCTTAAGTCCCACCTTCTCTTCCTTTCCTTCTCCTCTTTTCT